AACAAAATTTTAGTTAGATAGAAGGAATATATTCAAGAAATCTAGTATACAACATGATGACTATAGTTAATAACAATGTATTGCATTCTTGAAAATTGCCAGGAGAGTAGATTTTAAGTGTTCTCATCACACATACAAAAAATAGTCAGCGTGTGAGATAATGTATATGTTAATTATCTCAATTTAGCCATTCCATATTTCAAAACATCATGCTGTACATGATATATACAATTTTTACTTGTCAATTAAAAATTAATTAGTTAAAAGAAAAACTTCTGGGCCAAGCACAGCAGCTCATGCCTATATTGCCAACACTTTAGAAAGCTGAGGCAGGAGGGTTACTTGGATCCAGGAGCTCAAAACTAGCCTAGGCAACATAGTGAGACCTTGTCTCTACAAAAAGTAAAAAAATTAGTCAGGCATGGTGGCATGCGCCTATAGTCCCAGCTACTTGAGAGGCCAAGGCAGAAGGATAGTCTGAGCCCAGGAGGTTGAGGCTGCAGTGAGCCCTGATTGTGCCACTGCACTCCAGCCTAGGCAACAGAGTGAGATCCCAACTCACAAAAAAAAAAAAAAAACTTCTGCTTTTCCAATGATACTGCTAAGAAAAAGAAAATACCAAGGCATAGATTGAGAAAAAGTATCTGCAAAATACATATCTGGTTAAAGACTTTTATATAGACTATATAAAGAACTCTTACAATTCTAGTAAAATAATAACCAAATTTTTCAAGTGGGCAAAATATGTGAACAGACACTTCACCAAAGAAGAAATACAGATAGCAAGTGAGCACATGAAAAAATGCTCAGCATCATTAGAGAAATGCATATTAAAATCACAGTGAGATACCATCACATACCTACTAGAATGGCTAAATTTTTTAAAAACAGAAAATGCAGAATAACCAGAACTCTCATACATTTCTGGTGGTACAGCCATTTTGAAAAACAGTTTAGCAATTTCTTATAAAATTAAACATATACTTACCATACAACCCAGCAATTCTACTCCTAGGTATGTACCCAAGAGAAATTAAAACTTATGTCCACACAAAGATCTGTAAGCGAAATCATAGTAGCTTTATTTGTAATAGCCAAAAACTAGACACTCGTATGTACACCAACTGAAGAATGGATAAATAAATTATGGTACATCCATACAATGGAATATTACTCAACAATACAAAGGAATGAGCTCCTAATACATGCAATGATGTAGATAAATCTCAAATACATTATGGTAAGAAAAAGAAGCCAAGCTCAAAGGGCTGCACACAGCACAATTCCATTGACATGACATTCTGAAAAAGGCAAAACTGTAGGAACAGAAACCAGATCAGTCCTTGTCAGGGGCTAGGGGTAGAAGAGGACTGACTACAAAGCAGCATATGGGAACTTCTTGCTGTGATTAAAATATTCTATATTTTGATCGGGATGGTGGTTACATGACTATGCATTTGTACAAACTCATCAAATTGTATCCCTAAAAAGTTGCAAATTTTACTCTGGGTAAATTATTATACCTCAATTAATCTCAATCTAAATGAAAATAATCTTTTAATCTGCTACCGAAACCTAAAAGTTGTTTCTTGGGAGGCAGTTTGGTACATTAAAAAAAAAAAAAAGCACAGACTTTGGAGTGGAACAGACCAAACCCCAGCACTGTACTTACCAGCTAGCACTTAACTAGTCAGGTTACAGAACCTCTGAGTAACCTCAGTAGTAGGAATGTGAATAGTACCTACCTATGACTATGACGATGTAATGAGACAGTGGACAATCTGATCATCCTCAAAATAATCTTTTCCCTCAGCACACCCCATTCCTCAAGCCCTCAGTAAGAATCCCTCATTAATTTAAGTGTTCAAACAATGGTGACAGCAGTACAGCTTAAGAAGCAGATTGGACAATATAACCTTAAATCACTTAAGGACTAAAGACAGGAGGCATAGAGCAAAGATGCTTTTTTTTTTTTTCTTATTTCTCTAACAGATTCAAAAGGAGTCATGGTTCTAGTTGCCTGCAGAAGGCTAGGTACCCAGGAATCTAAATACTTTTATTCTAAAAATACCTGGTTCCTAAGGAGTAGAGGTGAAAGGGGGACAACTTTGGCTTCCTGAAACAAGGGGTGAATGCTTTTTTGACTACAGACTTACTGCCTGACGTGGGGAAGGATGGAGTGGCTCCTGGCACACTTAGTCTAGGCTCAGACAAAAACGAGTCTTTGATTTCTTAAACGTCTTTTTGTGGACATATGTGGTAAGAACTAGATGTGGAGTCCAGAAAAGGAGAGCTCACTGGGTACGGTCTCCAAACAAAGAACCATGTCCTTAGCTCCAGGCAAAGATGTCATTAACATAACACCATCCTGGATGAGAACCATGGTTCCCAAAGAGAAGAGTCATGAAAACATAAGACCAGATGAAGCCCAGGAAAGTAAAAAGGTTCCTCCACATAAGACAACAGTGCACCTTAGATCAACACTCTCAAGACACAAGGCGTGCGGAAATTTAGATATTAATAAATGTGGTATTCAAATCAGTAGGAGGAGAGAGAAGTTAATGAATAAAGTAACTTTGGGACAACTGGCTCATTCTGCCAATACAAATAAAGCTGAATCCTTCCCCTCACTGTCTACAACAAAATTAATTCTAAGTGCCTCAAAGACCCAAATATAAAACAGAAATGATCAAAGTGCTTGAAGAAAACATGGAGGCATTTTTAAAAGAATCTTTGAGAAGGAAAAAATTCTAAACATGATGCAAAGCTCAAGCTATAAAGCAAAAGATGCGTCAACTTGACTACTTAAAGTTGTTTTTTGGCATTAAAAATTTATTATGAATAAGTTAAAAGGCAAACTGCAAACTAAGAAAAAGATATTTGAAATGCATACATAAAAAGCCCTAACCTCTTTAATGTACAAAGGGTTCTTAAACCTATTAATAAAGATATGCAATAAAAAAAGAAAAATAATAAAAGGACACAGAGAATTCCCCAAAATTGAAATACAAATAACAATAACCATATAAAACCAAGATTAATCTCACTCCTGATTAAAGAAATACACACTATAAAATACCATCTTTTAAACACAGACATGTTTATAATACCAAAAAAAGGGATATTACTTCAAAGCTCATCAACAGAGGACTGTTCAATACGTAATAGTACATAAATACAAGTAAACACCATGTACCAATTACACATTTCACTCATACTGATAACATTAAAAACAGTCTGTAGCATATGGTTAAGTCGGGGGGGGAGTATATATTTCAACCTGCATGGCAAGATCCCATTTATCTTAAAGTGTACAATTTTATCTATTTGTGAATAAATGCACAGAGAAATGTCTAGAAGAAAATTTACCAGAATGGTAGCAGTGATTGACCCTGGAAGAAATTTCAAGTGACTTTTACTTTATTTTGAAATTGTAGTATTCTTTTACTAATCTACAATAAGCACATATTTCTATAACTAAAGAAAGCTAAGTTAAATTTTCGTTTTGAAAAATATGCGTAAGTTTCAATGCAGTGTTTCCACAAAACAAAACAAAAGGCATCCACATGCAGCGAAGGCAAATGGAGGGCCAGACCAAGGCCTTGCCTTGTGGTTGCAGCTTCTTCTAACCAGCACCAGGCAATAGGAGGCGGACAGGTAAGTAGAAACTCTCAGGTTTACAAAGGTGAAGCCAGGTGCAGGGTGGTAATGAGTTCAGAGAACAGGCTTGGAGGGTGAGAAAGACTCAATTTAAACACTGGTCCTACCACATAAGTTGTGTTGACCTTGGCAAGTCACCTAACTTCTCTGAACCTCAGTTTCCTTCTTTATAGAACTAGGGTAATAACTGTCTGTATCTTACAGGGTTGTTGAAAGGATCAACTAAGACAGGCACGTAGTACCCTCAGCCCAGTGCCTGGCATACAATAAGGACTCAATAAAGGTAGTGGCCTGTATTGCTACCTGAGACATTTTAAGACACTTGGTTACACTGCATGATTATATTCGCCATGATCTAGGGTCATGAAATAGAGTGGAAAGAAGGTACTGCAAACCTCAGAGAACCCCCAATATCTGGTCTTGGACAGCAACATGCTTATTCACCCACAGAAAACTTCCTGGAAACAGCAGGCAAGGAGGATGGCGGCCAGCTGGAGAGAGGAGGAGGAGGACTACAGGAGGGCTTAAATACTTTCCTGGTGCTGCCTACTGTGTGGTGGATGAGCCAGCACGACTCACTCCTCTCCCACACTCTTCTTCCTGGGTTGACTGGGACCTTCCCCCAGATATCAGTATGTTAGAATCCTAGAAAGACGACTTTGGTGCCAAGCCGGAAAGGACTTTAGGGACCACTGGGCACGGCATCCTTCATTCTGCAGATAGGGAGGGGTCGGAGGGGTCGTGAAGGGAACCAGAGCAACCAGCAGCTAGCATAGACTCTCAATTCTCGGGTCCCTCCTACACTCATCATTCCCCTCCCCCGGCTGCTCCCTCACCAGTTCTCATCCCCCGATTTCCTTCCCCTGTATCATGACCCATCAGACTCCTCAAGGCCCCTTTCTCCTCTGGCTGCACTAATTGTCCTTTCTGTCCTTCCTTGTGCTGAAGGAAAGAACCAGATTAGAACTGTTATGATTCAAAGAATGTCCTAGAAGGAGAACTGTTATGGCCGTCACTAAGTGAAACCAACAGAGCCATTTCCCTACTTCCAGTAGAAACAGAGCACAAACCATCGTGTGAAATGAGAAGGCGGGCGGGGGTGTGGGGATTTCTCTGATGACACTGGAGGTTACCTTGAAACTCTTAGCAAAGGTAGACCCCAGAAGGGAGAGGTACCAGTAGATTCAAGAGGAAGCAGCAGACTCCATCCCCCAACTCATAAACACAACCAAGATGCAGGGCAGCCACCGGTGAGGAAAGACTTGGAGGCAGGAGTGGAAGCCACTTTCCCAGGGCACAGTCCCAACTTTCCCAGTGGCAGTGACTGGGCTGGGGCTTACCTTGGGCAGACTGACTGGAGTCCTGGGCTTGGTCCTTGGGTTCTTAATCAAGAGCCTCTGGTCCAGAGGGAGCAGATGGTATTTCATAGCCTCAATGAGGAAGTCCTTACAGGTGTTGTTATTCTTTATCAGAGCTTCTTCTTCAACTGTCTGGAGGTGAGAACCCACAGGTGACCCCGGAGCAGGGCCCAGCCACGTTTCTCATGCTCTCTCCCTGGGCTGAGCCATTCCAGCACCCAACACTCACTCATTTCCACACCACACCATCATCTCAGACCCAGAGAGAACAATCCACAGGGTTACGACTTAGTGCTCACCTCCTGCATTTTAGGAGCATGGTGGGGTAAGTGGTCAAGCTCTGGCATCACGCGCACAAGGATTTAAATCTCAGAGCCCTTACTTAACATCTCTGATCCTCAGTTTCCTCATCTGTAGAAGGGGAAAATTAAAGGTATCTACAATGTCACTAGTTTTGTTGGTTTGTTTTCAAAGCTTAAATGAGTTTATCTAAAACAAAAGACAATTCGTTGTCTGGAGAGCCTCTTCCTATATTCCTCCTGACTTGAAGGCATTATAACGTTAAGGGCAAATGGCCAGACATCTGAGAGAAGGGATGGAAGGGAAAGAGGGAAGAGGTAGGACCCATCAGTCCACCTGGGGAGACACCAAGTAAAATAAGGTGATCAAGGAGAAGGATCCATATCCATTATCTTAGAGTGAAAGTCTAAGGACAGAAATCCAGCCAGTGAGGCTGTTCTTCACAGAGTAGCAACATCAGAGAAGAAAAAATGTCCTGCACAAAATTCCACCTATTGATCTCACCTTGAACCCCATCTAAGCTGGAACTCTGACTTCACCTCTTATTCCAGGGCTCAGGACCTAAGTAGGTGCTCAGCAAATGCAAGCCTAAATGTATCTACAATCTCACTAGTTTTGTTTGTTGTTCATGAGCAAGACCAAGGTTGAAGCCATTCTGGCACTCTGCCTCTCAAGTCTCCGCACACTGCCCCAGGCCAGATCACAATGTGGCATGGGCCTGAAATGGGTAGCATAGTCTTCTGAGGCCACTTCATGCTGGGAAAAATTAGTTCCATTCCACAGTGAACACTGATTAAATGCCTCCTGGTGAGGCAGACCTATGCTGCCCCCAGGAAGAAAATGATGAACAAGACAGAGTCTTTGACCCTGAAGAGTGCGAGTCCAGTCAGAGAATGAAAAGGGCCTCCCACCTCAATTATCTCAACCCTCAAGCCAGTCATGCACAAGCTCTGGCTGAGCCTCTAGGGGTCCACATCTGTCACTAAGAATGAAAATACGGACAGGGCCATCACTTGCTGGGCAGCATTGGAGCTGGCAGGGAGAGAAGGATGGAGAGATGAAGCCTCTGCCACTCCTGAGCACCTTCTTCCCCAGAGAAAATCCCAGGAACACCATGTTTGCTTGGAAGATTTTTTTTTTTTTCATTTTTAGGTTCCCAATTGAAGACTGAGTCAGAATGGAATAAATCATAAACTTTTAGGATTGGTTAAAGAACAAAAAGAGGGGGTGAGAATGTCTAGAAAAGCTTGGAAGAAGAAATGCATAATCATCTATTTCCCCCCAAAGAATTCATTCAGCTTTAATTAAAAACGCTCCCAGACCAGGGGCGATGGCTCACACCTGTAATTTCAGCACTTTGAGAAGCCAAAGCAGGAGAATCACTTGAGGCCAGGAGTTCAAGACCAGCCTGGGCAATATAGCAAGACCCCATTAGCTGAGCATGGTGGCACACACCTGTAGTCCCAGCTACTCGCGAGGCTGAGATGAGAAGTTGAGGCTGCAATGACACATTGTGCCACTGTACTCCAGCCTGAGTGACACAATGAGACCCTGTCTCTAAACAAAATCTCTCCCAGAGAGTTAGTGCTTCATGGATATAGAGTTTTAATTTGGGGTTTTGAAAAAGTTTTGTAAATCCATATGGTAGTGCTTGTATAGCACTGTGAATGTAGTTAATGCTACTGAATTTTATACTTAAAATGGTTAAGATAGCAAAGTTTAGGTAATACATAGTTTAATCACAGCATCACATGTTCCATATTTAGTACAATATTTTTGCATGCTTAGTAAAAGCCTAATAAATGTTAGCTATTGAGAAAGTGGGGGAAAAAAACCCAACCTCCCACAAAGTTAGACAGTATTGGTGGGCGTCTGCCTAGAGCTTTCCCTGCCTCCCTTTCCTCCTCTGTCACTGCCAGCCACCCCCAATAGGTTATACTAGCTTGAAGCTTCAAGGTCAAAGGAATGTTAATGAAGCATCCTCTTCCAGAGGCGTTCACTCTGAGAGGCCTGACCAAAGCCCTTTAAAAAGGGGGCGGGGGTCCCACACAACAGTTCTCATGCCATTGCCTCTGACCCCTTTCTTTTCCAGAGCTAAAACCTGCTTTGCCATAATAACCCAGGAACCATTTCATAATGGTTAAGTTTGTTAAGTTTCCATTGTGAATACCCAACAGAGTTTGTGACCAAGGGTCTCAAAGCCCCTTTAGCATTCTCTGGAACCTAGGTCCCCAGGCCTCCCCACCCACCCTCCCTATGAAAGCAGGACTGTGTTGGTGTCCAGACACACCTACCTCTACCTCCGGCCAGCTTCCCCACAGGACAGTGGGAGGGGTGATTCTGACACTGGGAGCTCAGGCAAGTTCAGTTCTTCTGCCCAAGGCATCTTGTCTACAAGAAGGATATGCTGCCACCAGGTGGCAGTGCTACCACCAAGATAGCATGCAGGGATCATATAAAGGATAGCAAGTGTATCCTTCAGCACCTGAGATTCCACTGACTTCTTAGGCCTGTGATCAACTGTGTCATGAGCAAAGGAGTTTAAAAGTGCTCATGAGAATACTATGTCGCCCACTACTGCCAATCGCAACAGTCATCACAAAGACAATATTATCAGTAACATTCACTGAACATTGCTATAGTCTTTATAAGGCTTATCTCATTTTACCCCCCAAACAATCCTATAAGGGCAGGTGCTATTTTTTCCAGATGAGAAAACTGAGGTTTAAAAGGTTAATGATGTGCCAGTGTCACATGGCTAGGGAGCTGGGATGCTAAACCTCTCTTATCCTCTCATCACACCTTCCCTTCCTTCCAAGGGCTCCTCGGGGTCAGCTCAGGGCTGGCCTACAGTCTCTACATTTTGTTTTGTTCATATATTTTAAGGTCTATCCTCTGCCTGCTTGCAAAAGTATCTGACGCCACTTACCACACAAATAAGTCATGTAATGTGTAAACAGAACAGAGCGTGTCAACAGTGACAGCTAACTTAGTTGAAGGAGTATGTACTTCACAACCAGACTGACATGGATTTGAATCCTGACTGTCTGCTAAGGCTGGTGACCCCAGACAAATCTCAACCTCCATAAGCCTCAAGGTTTACATTTGCAAAAAGGGGGTTATTGGCTGGGCATGGTGGCTCATGCCTGTAATCTCAGCACTTCAAGAGGCCGAGGCCCAGCAGTTCAAGACCAGCCTGCACAACATAGCAAGCTCATCTCCACAAAAAAAATCAGAAAATTAGCCAGGTGTGGTGGCACATTCCTGTAGTCCCAGCTACTTGGGAGGCTGAAGTGGAAGGATTGCCTGAGCCCGGGAGGTTGAAGCTGTGATGAGCCATGATTGTGCCACTGTGCTCTGGTCCAAGTGACAGAGCAAGACTGTCTCTAAAAAAGGGGGGGGGGTGTAATTTTTGCCTCACAGGGTTGTTATAAGGATTAAATGAGAAAATATGTGGTACCATAAGGGCACCTCATAATTCTTAATTTTTCTTTCCTTTTTTGAGGAAGCAGAAGCACTATGTATTCCAGAAACCTGGTTGTTATAGTCCTGAATTGGGCTCCAAGTGGCCTGAAACTAAGACAAAAAGGGAACACAGAACCATTATGGAAATGACCCTTCTTGCTTTGGTCCTCTACAATAAAAGCAGCTATCATTGAACATGTGTTATGCCAGGCTCCATGCTAAACATCTGACGTGCATACTTACAGCACTTTAGTTCCTACCATGACCCTGCTGGGCTCTATTACATCTGTTCTATGGAGTAAGAACTGAGGCTTGAAGAGGTTAAATAAAAACTGGGAGCTAATAAAGCATAGGGCAGGAACTGAAACTCACCTGTCTTGTTCTCAAACCTATGCCCTTAAACTTTTGTTACCACAACTCACACTTAACCCAGTGGCTTGGTGTCCTCAGTCATCCAGAAGACCCATAACCTTCTCAACCTGAACAACCAGGGTTGCCTGCTGCTATTCCTAGAGACCTGGGTCAACAGGGAAATGCTTGGTTCTTCACACAGCACTCACCTGGACCAGGTAGTCCCTAGGCAAAAGAGGGAGTCGGACATGTTCCATCAGCTTTGCCATGTGATCTAAACGGGTTTCTTTCTCATAATTGATCCATGAAATCACAGCTTCAAATACCTATAAAGAGAAGCAACACAGGTAGCTTCAGCAAAGAGACAAAAACTTTCAAACAACCATCAATCTGCAAAGGGAGGGGGGAGTTACAAGTCATCCACAAAAGTGTTTAATTAAGAGTCAATATTTAAAATAAAACAGAAACAGAAGGGTTTTGGGTCTCAGAGAGTGATCACATGTGCACACACACATACACATTATGATAAACCAGCTGTCCTAAACATAGAAGCATCATGGTTCATACTAAAATAAAAATCAGTTCTAACAGGTATTTAAGGGTGGAAATAGAGAGTAATAACTGTGAACCAAATTTATAAAGACTGCTCAAGAGGATCAGACCCTGGGGGTAAAGGCATCCCCCAACCCCCACCAACCAGGTCTCCTTTTCCTCACTCATATCTCATGTACAGTTAATACAGAATAAAAACAATAAGTATGCCCTCTGCCTAGACCTGGCTGAATGGTGAGTGTACACTGAATGACAAAGAATGGCAAAATCTCCTTGGGTTTAACTCCTCCTTGAGGAGAGATTTCATTTCTATGTGGATCAAAACTGAAGTGCTTGGAAGCAGAAAGGAAGATCTATGTAGATGTTCGCCCTCATCAAGGGTAAGTCCAAATTCAAACTGTGAGCCGCCACGTATACACAAACAGATAAAAGTCAATGTTGGTGAAGCCGTGGGGAAACCAGCAATGTTAAAACTTCATTAATACTGCTTTTTTTTTTTTTTTTTTTTTTTTGGAGTTG